TCTCTTCTGATCTGCATTTCTAAAATTTTATCCAACGTGATGCTCCTTTAAAAACATATTTTGTATCATGTACCTAAAACGTTAAACGTTTTGTATCTTTACTCAATCTTTCCTTACCAATAGTTGTTAATATTATTTAGAATACAAATATCCAATCATAAATATCACATTAAAACACATTATCCTTTGCATAATTTTTCCAATATGAATAACTTTGGCTATAGCTCTATTAGTAGTAGGATCTAAGGAGGTTGGATTTTGTGGATTCGTGCCGTACCTTACCGTACCTCACCGTGTCATCTTCATTGCTTTCATCATATTTCCTTGTCATGTAACGTGAAAGTAAATCCAACCAGTTGAGTGGTTGGAACGACATAGTTACAAACTTTCTACTTCCACAATTAATTACAATTCAACCACTTGTACTCCAACTCTTCCTTTTATCAAAAATTATCAGAATCAATTTGTTCTTAGAATCCCTCTGTTTCCACTATCATTCGATACATATATATTTGAAGAATTTATTTCCAAAAGCCTCGATAATCAAAATTTTTCCATCGAGTTGCTAAAATTCCTTCTACGAATCCCACGGTGATCGAGGCACACTTCCACTTAAAATCTCATCCATCGGCATTACGGTAACGAGAATTTGGTGATTCATTATCTTCACCGGGCGGGAACGGCGGTCGTTTAGCCGAAAGGTACCGACAAAACTATTTCATTGTTTCCGTTTTAGAATGCAATAATTTTCTCCCGGTTGCAGGCGGGACACAGCGAAAGAGGCCGCACCGTGGCAGAGACGAAAGGAGGGGAAGAGAGAATGAGAGTTCGGCTATGTGTTGTACGGCTGAGATACGGCAGGATAATGCGAGGAGATAGGACGGGGCAAGGATATTGCCAGCCGGACGGTCGGCATTCCGCGGATCCTCGCGTTCCATTTGCCCTTCCAGCTACCTCGAAACTTCTCTGGAACCCTCTTCTTTGTGTACGCGCACGCTGGACTCTATCTCCCGCCTGGGATCTCACCCACGCGTGCTTTCCACGGGAATTCTGGACTCTCGATATGCGAAAATATTTTAATCGACCCCTCCTTTTTTCTTTCACTGTTGGATATTAAATCAATCAGGGATCAACTTCGATAATATCTCTCGTAATCGTCGAGTGGTTATTCATTTAAAAGATCTTCTCTAGATCTTCATTCGAAGGAGTATCTTGTTCTGAAAAGGATATAGGAAAAAGTTAATTGCACTTGATATTTAATTATTATATATTATTATATATTATGATATATTTAATTAAATACCCTTACTTTCCTGCATCCTTCTTTAGAAACGACTTCAACGATTCTCATCGAGTGTTCCAAGTGCACTTTTTCACATGAAAATCCCCCTACGCGTTCTTGTTAAAAAAGCGTGTGTGGACGAGAAAACGAATTCCTCGAGCTTTTCCTACCCTCCTTTGTCGCCGAGTGGCCACTTCAACTTTCTCTCTTTGCCGAGGTGACTGCGGAGAGCATCTTCCTGAAAGGAGGATCGTGGCAAGGAATGTCGACGAATGGAACGTCGTGTATACGAATGGAGAAAAGAAAGAATAGAGAGAAAAGAAAGGAAAACGTCCTCTCGTACATCCTTGCCCGGCTACCGACCTTCGACCCTGTCACTCACCCTTTCCCCCCCCCGCCGCCACCCAGACTTTTTTCCTCTCTCCCCATCTCATTAAATTCCTCCTCCCTTCTTCTTCCTCCTCCTCCGTCCTCGTGGCCGGCTCCTCCGATCAGTCGAATAGATGCCGTGCCACGATCCTCGGGTTTGTCTTCGCACCGGTGAATAACCGATTAACTGGTCAGACCACTCCACGTTAAATGGGGGGGGCTGCTCCCTTCGTACCCTGCATCTGCCATTATAATCGCGAAAAGTTGCAGAAGAAGAGTGCCCGCGAAATTCGTATCCCCCCCCCCTAGAGGATGTTATCGTTTCGTTATCCTCAGACCAATATCAGTGCGCGCCATTTTCCTTTTCGAGAACGATTTTCAATTTTCAGATTCGTAGTAGTCTGGAAAATCTTCTGATTCTGGAAACAAAGAAGGAGGTTTCTGTATCTGAAAAGTTTTCTACGAAAAGTGATACTTACATCTTTTAAATATATATATATATATATGTATGATCTTGAACAAATATAGATCGATAAGGAGGATAAAGAAAAAAATTCAACGATGGTGATTTAACGTTGCAGGAACGGTGCAAGGAAGTTCCGGTCCAACGGAGGGGGACGGTCCCAGTTCAGTAGGTCCCATGGGACCGGTGGGGACGCTGGGTCCCCTGCCAGGTAGGGGGGGCGCAACGATTCGAAGAGGTCCGGGGCGACCGAGATTGAGGCCAACGGGCCCCGGCCATCAAGGATATCGCAACCCTGGCCACCATAACGGCAGGAAGGTTCAACGGCCGCTTCCGGTTCCTCTGAGATCGCAACAAACGATCGCCACTGTGAATCAGTCAAATCAGAAATCTTCGGTTCAACGTGCCTCCGGTTCCGGTCCATCGATCTCATCCTCGTCGATGAGCACCGGCGCGTCGTTTTCATCCTCGTCGAATCCAGGGGAATCAAGACCATTTGGATTCTACACTCAGCAGCAGCAGCAGCAGCAGCAGCAGCAGCAGCAATCACGAGGATCGTCCTAGCTTCCGGAGGGTGAATTCCTTCGAGTGATCCTCGAGGGAGATTCGTGAAATGCCAAACGGAACATTTTCTCGAGCGAAATGTTGGCTCAAAAGCGACTGGATCGCGTTTCTCTGAAATTTCTTTCGATTCAAAATAAAGGGTTTTTTCGATTTTTTGCCGATTACTTTTAACGCCATATCGAGTTTTAAAAAAAATGCATGGATCAATAATGAAGATATTAAATAATTTTTTATGGGAAGACTTCATGGAAGAATGTTCAATTGATTCTAAGTCTCGCTTTTAAGCCTCGTTTCTTTCATATTTTTCAAGATTGTAGAAAGAACTGTGGATTCTTCGATAGATCAACAATTTATTAGTCTTTTAATAAGCTAATAAGGCTGGATATAGCTTTGATTTTCGTCAAGAATCTTGATATATTGTGCTCAGTGATAAGAAACAATGAGAGTGTAATTATTCTTTTATTGCTTCTTTTTATCGTTATTATTATTATTATTTTTTCTTTTTTTTTTTTTTTTTTTCTAAAGAATTCTGGACTTAATTTAAATGTAATAGAGAATGTGTTACTCGAGAGAATTCTAACGCTCAAATAGTGCAATTGAAATCTTTTTAATGAATCAAA